TTTGTTTTGTTTTGTTCATTTTTTTGGCTGTAGTCTGTCCTACACACATTTATATGACCTTTCAAGTTATGAAATTGTTCTGTCATATGCTACATCTTCTCCTCACACGGTTTGGTTTAGGGAGGTGATTTCACAGCAGGTATCGTTGGACCTGTTTACGGCTGAATGTCCCTCTTGCGTACAGCGCATACATGCATACTCCGTCTGTTATTTTCTTTGTACGCATACCTCCTTCACATCAGCAGTTTTATTGCTGTGAATGATGGGTCTACAGCTTCTGTTGATTATATCCATGCCTGACAATCTCAGTTTAGCAAACCACCCAATTTATCATCCCTAACCCACTGCTTGTTTTACGCTGGCTCTCGACAGCTGAACTTGTGCTCCGTTTCTATGGGCAGTATGACTAGGCTATGTTTCCTCCTGCGGCAGTGCAGAAGGAATCCCACTGAGGCTTGGGGAGTGATAGAGGTGGGTGGGGGTCTCTTAAGTAGCTGTCTGGTCAAGAAGGGTCTTTTAATGTAGGCTGAAATGAATGTGGTAATTAAGCGGCACTGTGGGCCACAGGACCTTGATGAATATTATCACTTAATTATAGGATCACTATTCCCAGCATGCAGTTGAGCTCTGCTAGCACACAATTTCTTTCCCAGTGCGGATGGGTGGTGGTGCATGTATTTGTGCATACATATGCATATGTATGGGGTGTGTTCACTGTGTGCCAGTTTCAAGATATTGTCTATCCATTACTCTTACCTACTGATTGTTGCAGTAGAAATAACAACATTACACCAAATAACTTTAACCCATTAGACAACAATTATATTGCAGTTACAATGGTATAATTTTTGAATTCATAAGTGTACATTTTTAAAACCGAGTAACGCTGCTGCATTATGGAGATTTAGGGCTGTAGCTATCGATTATTTTAGTAATCGAGTATTCTACAGATTATTCCATCGATTAATCGGATAAGAAGTAATTTTTATTTATTAAAGAGCAATACTAAATATACAAGAGATAATAAGATAGATCTCTTAAAATAAACAACTAATTTCTTTTCTTTTTAGAAAAATTTACATTTGTATTGCTGAAATTGCATACATTAATAACCATGAAAACTAAACCCATTTAATGTATTTAATTGCCAAATTGCATTCAAAATGCAAATACAAATATATCAATAAAAAAATAAAATACATAAATAAAAATACAAAAATCTATTTCACATTACTTTAAAAAAGGTAAACAGTACAAACTAAAACTAACGCATAAATCAAAATAATAGTAATGTTGTGCAACTTAACTTTCAAGTTTCAGCTTAACTAAAGCCCAAGCATGACATAAGCCTTTACTGTCTTCTTGGAAGGCTTTGTGGCTTTTGTGAGAGGCAAAAATCAGTGGACAGGAAGGTATCTTGGAACAAGAACAAGAGACCATACGCAATTTTGATTGAACCGAATCATTTAAACGGTTGATTCATTCAGGAACGAAACGCCGTCATGTTGCTCAGAGACGCAAAACAGCGCTGTGGCTGTGTTTGGAATTTTTTTGTTGGCAAAATAAAGCAAAAACAGGCAATCTAGTGTCTAAAACATAAGTCTCATAATATTACCTTCTTGTTTATTGAACTGATCACATTTGTAATCATGCTGATTTTAGAGGTGAAAACTGGCACTCTTCGTGTGATATGAACTTTCTTTCTGTGGTATTTTTATGCACAATGGCGTTTAGTCTTTCACAAAACATAGCTAACGTAGGGACATTATAACTAGCCACCATATTGATTTATGGTCTTAAATATGTCCAGTTCTTTTTTTTTTTTTTTTAAAGGCTGGCCCCTGTATTTATACAGTCTATGGTCTGGTCCAGCGTTTATCGGGTTGTGCGCCTGTAATAATGGTCCGTCGGGAAACACGGTGTTCCGTGTGTAGTTACAGTAAATGGACTAAACGAAGCCTCGAGTCAAGTCATTTGCCTCAATGATTTTTTTGTAGTCGAGTTACTCGAGGTATTCAAGGAATCGTTTCAGCCCTAATAGAGAGTAACTGTCCTAAACATCTAATAATTATTACTCATTACTAGTTTACGGCAGTTACTTCACATGATTTCAGTGATGCACATTAACCCTCTGGGGTCCGAGGGTGTTTTGGGGTCGGGAAAAGTTTTGACATGCCCTGACATTTGTGCTTTTTTCAGTTGCATACAAACATTTGAATGTCTAAAGTTTAATAACACTGTAATCAGCACAAACTGGGCTACAATAATATGTGAGCAGCATGTATGTATGTGATTGTGTTTTTAAGAAAACAACGTTAATGTGTGCTTAGTGAAAAACTAAAATTTTAAAGTCACTGAAATAAGGCCATAAAACACATACAGAACATTTGATCACAAGACTTTTGAGAACTGATCTTGAAGTCTAGAGTTTTTGCTTCAAAATTATGTGAAAATCATCTTACTCACTCATTCACAGAAAACACTATATTGATTTAAATTTTCTAAGACACTTTTTGTGTAGAAAAGGTATATGCGAGGGGGCGTGAATGTTCATGCATAATGCTGTGATTCACACCTGAGAAGACAAAGCCCTGCATAATGAGCTGCATAATGAGCTTTTCAGTCAGGTGTGTGACTGAGAGGGAATTGCTACAAGAAAGAATGTGAGGAAAAAATAAATTTATATATTTTTTGTTTGTAGTTTATTTAGAATACATATAACTATCACATAAAATAACTCATGGGAGTGTGTGCATCACATGGTCTTAGCTGTGGTCCAGGTTCTTGTGCAGGCAGGAATTTCCATGACCAAGTGGGCAGCTTTGCTTTGGCTCTCTTTGCAACAGGTTATTTTGCACTCACATCTGAAATAAAAACGCAAGCATGCTGTTTACACAAACTACATTATTAACATTATTATGATTTTCACTGATACTAGTAATAATTTATCGAAACAAAGAACACAATTACCACATAGCAAAAATAGTTTACCATACAGCAAATAAATCAAATGAAAGTAACATCTGTAAAATAGTGAATGCACACTTACTCTAAGATTCTGAATGGAGTTGAAAACTGAACGAGCGTCCCCTTACTGTGAGAGATGCAGGTGAAGGCAAGAGTGGTGTATTCGGTCCTAAAATAATTTTATAAACAATTGTAAGCATTTTTTCCCCACAGTACCTTAGTATAGTATGCATACTTCATGAGAAAACTGAATGCCAATAACAAAGAAACTACATTTTAACACTATCAACCACAAATAATATTACCGTAAAGTCTAGACATAATAAAAGTACAATTACTATACTGTGCACTTACTCAGTATGATTTTCCAGCGAACTCAAAACTGAACGACACGTGTGCCTTCCTTGTGCAATTATGCCAGTGATGCAGCCACAGTCCTAAACGAAAACTGAAACAGTTGTTAACAATTACCAGAAGATGCATAGCTGATAAATAAATTGCGTCACTGATAAGAAAGGACGTGCGTATATGTCTGTCGATGCATCACTTATTTACAGCTCACTTGATACGTTTACACATCAGACGATCGTGAATGCCAATGACCGAGTATAAAACATTCAACATTATAACTCGCATTACTTTTATATCGTTGCTGTCTATTTTATAGAACATAAAAAAAACTTCCTGGCATTGTGAGACATATATGCAGTGAATGACTCTTCATAATGTTTCACTTGATTATACATTTAGTCAGGAATCATGGTTTGGAAAAAGTAACTAGTAAAATATGTACAAGTTATGTCACAGTAACACAATAGCAACTAATGCAAGTAGGCAAATAAAAAAGACTTACTATATCCTCCACTGAATATCACGCCGCGTGTTCTTCTGAGGAAAATCCAAAGCTTATTTCTCTCAGTGCGTCTTCTTCCAGAAGCGAAGAAGCCAAGATTAACTTGAGGAAACGTCTCGCTGCTGTGTTTGCTGTGATGTGGGCGTTTACATGTGCGCGTCTCACGTGGACGATTGTAATAACAAAAGTGCGATCGGCGCGTGGGCATGGTCACGTTAGCGATAATGAAGGCGACGGCCAAGGCTTGACATCGCGTTGGTTTCATACTGATTACTTTGTCGCATAATATTTGTTTTTCATAAATGCTGTATTACTCTTATATGTACGATCAAGTATGAAGGAGCATTTTAGTTCTTTTCGCTGTCATCATTCAAATCTGCAAAAAGTTCCGCTGGCGGAACTGTCGACCCCAGGAGGTTAAAAGTCACAAGTTTATGACAGTGTTGTTCATTGTTAGTTTGAGGTTATGGCAATGTTACTTATTACACATTTATGATATTGGTGTAAACTTAAATAGCGTAAGCTTAAATAGCAACCATTATTATAAGCTCAAACTCTTAATTACCGTTATCATAACTCTAAACAACTCCTGACAAGTAACAGTGTTGTAAACTTGTAACCAGTAACAATGGAACTAACTATAAACCGAAACATGTTAAGCAAATAGTCACAAAATCAGACTCAGGCCCTGTTTACACTAGTGCGTTTTCGTTTTAAACTAGCATTTTTTTAATTAAAATGATCCTCGTCTACGCTGGCGTTTTCACTGCGTTTCTGAATCGATCTCCATCCACACTAGTACACAACCGAAAACGCATGTCACATGAACATTCAATGAGCATGACGTTATTGTTTACACGGTCGTCAAGGTCATCATTTTAAAAATTCTCAGTTTTGGTACATTTACACTGAAACATCCCCAGAGTTTTCAAACTAAAACGGGGTCCGCCGGTGTAAACGACAGACGTAACCGTAGCAAAAGTTATGCGTTTTAAAACGGAATCGCACTAGTGTAAACACAGCCTCAGATTTAATTCTGTTGTAAAGGAATATAGGAAGAATGTTTGTTTGTTTGTTTTTAATTCACACAATTTATACATTTTGCAATTATGTCCTGTATTTCATTGGGCAAATATGTGTACCATTTTAAGTTTCTCATCTTTCTCTCTCCTCCCTTAAGGACAATTACACCTTCGCCCAGCCTGGGATCCAGAGGAAAGTGAAGGCACTGGAGAAGCTGGTCAGCCGGATTGATGGTGCGTACTCTTGGTGAAGCACACCCTACTTAGCTCCGTACTCTCCTTTTTTCTGCCTGTGCCCTCTCTCTCTTTTTATCTCTCACTGTCTCTGACTAACCCATACCCCCAGCCCCCTTCAGCTGCAGTGTCAGCCCCAATCAGTGCACCAGTGCTTTGGCCTTTAGTGGAGAGCGCTCACTGCTCTGGCCAGGAATGCAAAAGGCACTGGAGCATAAGCCTCTCTCATTACTTTCTATTAGGTGACCGAAATCAGAATTCAATGCCCATTTCTTGGAGACAGGAAGCCCTCTCCTCTCCTCCCGCACGAGGCCTCTATCTCCCCAGCCTGCATTAGACCCAATGATTGCTTTAATTTCTGAGAGAAAGACTGCGGTCAGAGCATATTGTTGATGTTTTTACCCCGCTCACTTTGTGTCTATGTGGCAAATAGAGAGAGACTGTGTTTCATTCTCATCAGTTTTTCCGCTATATATAGAGCTGCTTGTTCTTTCCTCCGCTTCTGTTTTGATTGCCTGCTCGATTCTATACTTTTGTTCCAGAAGAAGCTTTTTTGTCTCTTCCAGTTTGATTATTCAGTTATTTATGGGACCTGTCAGAGGGAAATAAGGTTGAAATGTAGCTGATCACAACATAATTTTTGCTTTTCCACTAAAGAAATTCCTCCCTTTACTAAGCACGAAGACAACTACCTTTAGGCTGATGTACTTTACCCACATCTGTCTCCACCAAAAAACAAGATGTACCACCCTGAAACCTGCTAAAACTAGATGTTCCTCTAGTTTGCATCAGTCTATTGGTTTTGATTCGGGTAATTTGATGTATTTCATGGAGACAAGCACATTAACATTGGTTTAATGAATCTGGTGAGCGAGCCTTATCAGTTGAAGACTTTGTACTCAGACTTGTTCTTGAGTAACCTTCACATTGTCAGGCTCCAGAGCTTTTCGCCTGTCACATTTATTGTGTTTAGCCACTCTTGATTACAGATAATGTCTTCTATTAGACATTCAAATGGGGTTTGGAAGTGCCTTTGCAAAGAAACCAATGAAAGGGAACAATTGATATTTGAGATTCATGAAAAGACTCTTGGCTTTTTTTCTGTTTTTTATTCTTCACCAGTTTTCAGCTAAACAATAACTTGTGCTTTGTGAGTAATTATGAAGGATACAGTTAGTTATCCTTCTGGATATGGGTGTACTATAATTGTGTCTTGCTCTGGTATAGTTTTAATATTATTGGAGTCGCAAAATACTATAGAACCCATTATAATCAGTGATGCCATAGGCGCCGATCTGAAAATGATCGGGCACCCACAGAAAAACACAAGATAGTCTTCGTTCATTTTAAGCAATAAGAAATGTATTGCAGCTTGTACGACTTTATTCTCGTTTTCATAGTTCATTTGAGGCAGTTTTTGGCGTTATTTTAATGGTAAATGTCAAGAGTGCATTATTGTAATATGAGAGGGTGCCAGCACGAATCTCTCGGCTTGCAGTAGGCTTGCTCTCCCATATAATGATCATGGCTCCTGCGCTCTCTCAGATATTATGTGTGCGCCCTCAAACTTTTTCCTGTGTATGCGAAAATAAGTGCTTATTGTAAATTGTAGGTATTTATTAAATCATTTTATTTAGTGAAACACAACCCTCATAGAAAGAATGTGTGTATTATTTGGTTACTAAATGTATTTGCAGTCTGTGCATTTTACATTTCGCAAGATACATTTTGTGTAGTAAATTTATCGAACGCACCATCCAACGGAGTATACTCTAGAGAAGAAAAAATGAATTAATAAAAAACTAACACCCAGTATAATTAATTACTGAGTAATGAGAATAACGGGTAGTTAGTGTTTGTGAATTTGCACTCACCTGAAGATCAAACATTTAGAATGTCATGCAACATCTGTGAAATCTTGCTGGTGTGTGCCACTTTCTCTGATATGGTGAAACTCAGCACAAACCTAGAAAACCACAAACACGCACAAGTAAGTGTATAACCAACAATGGATGTAGAAAAGAGAAAGCCGAGTCTGTGTCCTGTCATGTGAGGACCCATCACAGAACTTGCTCTTCAACTGAATAGAAGTTACCTTAAGTGTTGAGGCTCACTCTTTTGTATTCAGCATCCAGCTCAGCCTGCAATTAAAGGAAGTTTGTAAAGGTTTACTACAAGTTTGTAGATTGCTTTTTGTAAAATTAATATATTGCAAAATTCATGTCTGTGTATTAGCTTTAACCTAATTTTGGATTAATACTCTTAGCAGCTAGTTGTTTAAAAACAGACCAAATAAAAATCACATTTACCAGGGTATTTCCCAAAAAAAGCATTGTATGGCTAAGATGATCGTAGAAACATTTGCC